GATGGCTCACTGAAGGGGACAGCTTCACCTGCTGTGTTTATCTGAAACCCAGAACTTGAACCTGTAGGTCTCTCAGCTCTCTGTGTGGTAGTGTATGTGGAAGAGTACCTTCAGTGTGAGCTGACAAGCGTTTAAAATGGTTTTAATGGTTTCTGCACTGCCCTAAACACATTGTTAATGAGCATTACTGTTCCAGGTTTTCTGAACTAAAAAAAAAGTTAGTTGGTACAAATTTTGGCACATAGATGTTTACCACGTGTGGTTTTTCTTTTTTTGATAAATCTGCAGAAATGTGAAGCATATAACAAAAGGATATTAAGGGAGATACTTTCCGTACCCGCTGCACACGGCATCTCCGTATAGCTGCTGTGGGTGTTTCATGCTATCTGTGGTGTTTTCACGGGGTGCTGCAGTCTATCTGTGTTTCCCTCCAGCAGCTGGAGCTTTTCCAACTGGTCATTTATTACCGACCTGCACTGGAAGGGAAACGAGCCTCCCTTATGACCTTGACATTAAACATGTGCTTTTAACTGCTCAAGATACTCTCTCTTCAAAAAAAAAAAAACACATCTCAAGCTGTACAACTTTTCAAATGTATTCCCCTACACGGAGATAAAAATTGATATCGGAATAGAGATCTCTTCAAAGGCGCTTCTATTCTGGCCTTTGGCTTGAAATCTTGGCTGTGAACCAGTGCAGGTCAAGCCCTGGGACAGGTTTTCCTCCTAGATGTTTCTCTGCATTGCTGCCGGATGTTCAGAGCATCGCAGCATAACGTTGAGTTCACATCTTGAAAATAACTGTGAGAATGTTTTGTTTTGTGATAAGAAGTCTTGAATGGCACAGGCCGTCTTATCAGGCTCAAGCCAAGCGCTGTTGCTCCTCTCCTCGCCCTCTCGCTCGCCGGTTCAGGCGCTATCTATCAGAGCGTGCAGAAACACTTCTGTGGGTTTCTTCTGTAATGAGCCTCGGCTTATTTTTCCAAGTTCAACCTCGAGTGATTATCTGCAGCCGCTGCTGGAAGATAAGAAAGGTTCTGTTTCCATGTTCCATGTCCAATTCATTTTCAAGACTCAATTCTCAAACTTCTACGAGTAACAGTTTTTTTTCTAAATGCTTGAAACTATTAGTGTGCTTTATCTTTATTCAGTGGTTCTGAAAGCGCTTGTTATTGTCAGTCGTGAATAAAACAAACATCATCTAAAAACAGAGCATCCAAAGCACCAGTCACTAGCTTTTTTTTTTTTTTTTGCTTCGATAATGTGGTCTAGATGATTGACAGGCTTGTAACTAAGCAACAGAGCTGCAAAGAGAGTAAAATGAAAAATAAATATTCAGATGAGGATGCTGCACTTTAGATAAACGCTGCACTTGGCATCTGCCTTGTGCTTTGTACAGAATATTGCTCCTTTGAATTAATGCACAACACCTGCTTGTTTTTCAGATGAAAACCAGGAACTGGCACCAAAGCCAGCTATGCCAGGAGACATTGCTCCCGAAGAGACCGGGAAGTGCTACAGCACAAGAGAATCAAATCCCAGGGAAAGTAACAAATTACAACAAGAAATGTGTTCACTCGTTCACATGTAAGTCACTTTGGATAAAAGCGTCAGCCAAATGTGTGAATATATGTAAATATACTTCTAATGTTATGGTGCTGGGGGTGTGGCTAGTAGTCAGCATGCTGCTGATTGGCTGTGAGGCTGCCGTAGTTACACACAGACACGGCCATCAATACCAACACTGAAGGGCCCATGCTGCAGTCTGAAGCTGCTGGAAATGCTTCGAAACTAAGAGAATTAGCTGCTAGGAACCGATTAATACAAGAAATGCATTTCAGATTTAATGTTGCTGTAAAGATGATGTTTCTTATATATTTTACAGCTTCAGGACGTTTAGCACCTTGTCAAAGGTCCTAAGAAAATCAGTTTCTACCTTGAAAAAGAGAGAAAAGAACGTAAGCATCTGGAATTCTTTTTTTTTTCTTCTACTCTGAATCGAACTGTTCTCCACCACAGACTCTTTACACAGTTCTTTCCCTCGATGCACCAGGATCTGTTTGCCATCAAGCCGTTTCACAAGGAGTCATCCATAATGCTTCTAGAGGAGGTCACAGGCTGGTCACACACCTGTGAGTCAGTGCCCTTCCTTTCTCAGATGTTCAGCATCACTTCTAACAATCACTGCCTTCTGCTGGCATCCGAGAGAAAGGGCAGACGATCAGAGTAGATTCCTGGATAAATATCTGAGTGAAAAGGTAATCTGTACATCATTTGAGCGGAAAAAAGTTTCCATCAAGTTCCCGTTTCCGCTCCCTGCGGATTATTTTTGAATATCAATAGCTTGCCTTTTATTGGACTGACGAGCCAGAATTGATTATGGGTTACTGCTCTCGGGTCATCCCAGTGGAACCGCTCTTTGGAGGACCATATGTGGCAGCATCATGCTCAGATTTTCACGGAGCGTGTTCCATTTCAATAATTTAAACTGAATGAGGCATGTGCATAATTTTAGGCACCACAAAAGAAAATGAACTGAAAAATATCTCCAGTTCCTTCATGGATTGTTGCAGAACACAAGAGCTAAACCCTTTATGAAGGACTCAAGCTTTTCTTGATCGTCTGAAGCAAGCGCTTACACTTTGAGTCTGGCCACAGTTCATTAAACCTTACATTAAATTCCCATTTTCCTCAATTTTACAGGTATTGCTTTACTAAAGAATCTCTGTTAAACAAAAAGGAACCAAGGGCAAGCAGGGAAAATACACATAAAAACTTGAGCTGAGATTTTTATAACTCGTCTATAACATACAATTCTCTGCTTTACACCACTCTGTGGAAACGTGGATTACACACAGCAGCTTGAGATTCTGCTCAAGTACAAGTGGATTTCAGAGATTACATATTGAATGTTTTGTAAACTCTTGGATTCGGCTGTTTTTTGTTTTCCTGCAGAGAAGTTTAATCTGTTTTGATAATGTGCTTCTTTCCGACTCTGTCTTATGTTTCAAGAATGCTTGAATCTGTTTGTGAGGAGCCCCTGAGATTATTTCTGAGGCTCTGACAGCAGCCTGGAGCTCTTGATTTACTGTGGGGTTTGTTGGAGAGCAGGGTTTGTGTAACAGACGTGTTATTGATGGTGGACAGAGAAACACAACTGCCTCTCTTACACGCAAGGCTTCAGCTGATGAAAGCGTGACTGTTGCTCGGGAGTGTCTACGATAAGCGAGAAGGATAACTCTGCACAGATGGAACTTTAACAGAACTCTGAAAAATGCTGGCTATGATTTACTGCACCGAGACATGTACAGGGCTCTGCTCATAGCAGATATTAAGAGAAACAACAAACTTCACATTCGCTCTTTTCTAATCATCCCATCCTTTCCTGCGTCTCACAGCTTGAAAAAAATAGCGTTTGACTAACTCAAAGTTAGTAGTTGGGTGAAGCCATTTATTGTTATTTAACTTTGTTTACTCTTTGAATCATTAAAACAAAGTTTCCAGTAAAGTACATTTTTCACTCCTGTGAACTGCGAGTAAAAAGTGCTGAAATGCGATGTTCACTGCATCTGACGCAGGGGCTGCAGGTTCATCTGCTGGATCTCCTTTGAGCAGGAAAAGGCTTTGTGCAAACGAAATGCTACTAAACCAAGCACACCGTAATATTCTGCATTCCTTCAGTTTGTTTGATTCTAAAAATGCTTTGAGCCAAATCTTAAAATCTCAACTTATTCTTCAAATACTCCAGCGTTCGATTGTATCTCTAACTTCTTTTTCCCTAATTATGGAGATAAATAGATGCTTGTCCCAGTCGACTGCAGACAAGAAATGTTTGGAAATCTTCCAAAACGTGACGACGGCTCGTTTCTACTATTCCATTTAAAACTCTGAGAACGAAATGTTCCCCAGCGCTAAAATCGACGACCCATTCCAGAGGCACCGCCACAGCCTCACAATCAGTTCACTTTAATAGACAATGGCCCCAAGAGGGTTTTGGAGTGGTCTGCAATGTTCGTTTCCTTAAAAGGGGCTTAATTGAAGTGTCCCCATCCATCCACCCTTTCCTCTGTGCTTTAATCAGCAAGTTATCAGCTCGTCTTTGACAGGCACATGTGATTGGTTCCAATTCGAAAAACAAAAAAGGAAAGAAAAACAGGACGTGTGAGCAGGACGTCGAAGAACACCAGCATGGTCTAAATTAGTGATTTCACAAAAGGTATTTTGAGCTTTTTTCGGATGGTTCTTAACCCAATTTTAAAAGTTTAAGCATCTCTTAGAGTTGAATTCTTCATTGAATTGTTGAGGTTTTCCATGGTCTTGGGTGAGATCCTGCAGCTGAGGTTGCAAGACCGCTTTGGTGAAGGCACAGGCCCCTCTCCGGAGCTCTGGGAATTCCAGCGAAGCGCTGAGATGGTTGAGCTGTTTCCTTGCTACTAAATATTCAGCTATCTGTGATTCCAAAAGGAAGCGTGGAGAGGTCCTATCCATCCCACCGGAGCGATGGATGGATCATCACAAATCTGACTGGAAATAACGAAAGGTTTTAACCATTAATTATTTTGTGCAGCAGAGTAAAGCATGGGAGTCTGATGCTAAACAAACAAGATGCTGACTAGTGATTGTTCTTGATTACTAACATCCAACACGCTGATTACTCGTCTGTCAGGGCTTCCCTTCTGGCCTCTTATCAGACAGCACATGATTTCCCACAGCCCCTCGCCACAGGAAACCAGGGTGTGGTGGAGTTTTGGAAGAAGTGCTGCTGGCATCTTGAATCCTTCAGATCGGATGGTGATGCTAAAACAGGAACCAAAAACTTGACAAAAGTTTTATTTGACTGATGAACCAGAATTCAGCGGGATCGCCAGACTTTGATGAAAGTTTTGGCTTATTCTGTGATAAATCAGCAGAGCAATATTACGTTAACTCAATTTTGGGATTGAGATACAGAGATTGGCCTTTCATGGTGTGCTTCCACAGTTTCGAACAGTGGAGTTCATTACTCCTGTGGCTCAGTTGGTAGAACATTGTGCTAAAAATGCAAAGGTTTTTGGTTCATATCCCAGGGAAAGCAAAGGATTGACAAAAAAATGTATTTGGATAAAAGCGTCCGCCAAATACGTAAATGTACAATATTCAGATTGGACGCAAAAAATAATTACCGCATCTCCGAAATCAAGAAAACAGACCTCTACCTTTCAAAGCTGGACGACTGGAAACGATCAGTGCTGAATGTGATGTTTCCAATTAAATCATCACATGGGGCTCGAGCATTCCAGAAGCAGGCTGACAGATGGAATCTCTTTGGATCGTTGCTATGAATGAGTGGCGGAATAGAGAAACCCTAGAGCTGGTCGCTCCTCTCCTCCCGCGCTCCTGAACGCAGCTGTGGCTCTGAGCTGATGAATCGCTGGACAGCTGCTGTCCTCAAGAGCAGATTCCCTTACACCTCAAACACACAACCGATGAGCTCGGAGAGCAGCGCGTCTTCTGAACTCATGATCGACACACGAGGTTCTGAATGAGAACATTGGTGCAGCTCTGGAGCGATTCTAGAATCAGGGATCCAGCCCCTGATGCACACAAGCTTCATCCACGTTCTACTGGATATAATTTCTTTATATTATTTCATTATTTTTATATGCATTTTAAAACTGAGTGGCTTCAGTGAATAGATCTCTGCTTTTAATTCTTTTTTTTTTTATTACAAATCTTTTAAATAAGAATAAATCAATACAAAAATGTTAACTGTTTTCAGTGAATAGAGAAAAGTATATTTAGCAAAATAAACAATAAATACAGTCCTTTAAAAACAAAACTTTTACCACCATTAATTATAACATTAAATGTATTTAATCCACATTTCTCTGTATCGGTTGAATCTCTTGCTGGTTAAAGTTTGTCAGCTTCATCTCTAGAATCTATGATTACATGCAGCAGAGTTTGCGATTCAGCTCAGCCAATCAGATTTCACTGATCGCTCTGGATTGGGTGGAGGAGATCTGCTGCTGGGAGCATCTGAGGGATCAGCAAATAATGTGACGGATGATTTATAACGGGAATGGGAAGTTCAGGGAGCTGCAGCATCCCAAAGAACGTATAAACTGCCGCTGGACCAGTTATCACTGGTTAGTGAGTAAATGTGACATTTTGTGTTTACTTTATTCCGATTATTTTATGGCATGTGGAGGAAAAACTAATGAAAGACTGCTGCAAGCAAATACAGAGCAGATGCTGAACTGTGCCGTCTGAAAGCAATCTGCTCATGTTCTGGAGCTTGATGGGAGGACCGTAGCATCGTGGCTCGTTAAACCATTAAACAGTAGCACCTTTAAAAGGATGCTCCGGTGCCAGAGCTGTAAATCATCGCCGGGCCTCCAGTGTTGACTGTTAAACGCCACAGCTCTGCAGCTTTTTCTCTTCATTACAACGCACTCCTCCCTCAGCTCCAGCGGAGGCATTCGTATGGTCACAGAAAAGGATTACTACTTTGTGTCATAACACGAGGTTTCTGGATTCTTGTGTTTAAGGACGAGTTCCTCGGCGCTCTGCCTGGTGGAGGAGTTCAGACTTCGGTTGAGGAGTCAGTGTAGATTAGTTGGCTGTACATGACATAAAGCAGCCCGGTGCAGCTGTGTGGGAACGCTGACTCTATAAGCAGCTCTCTATATCACCCCATGCATCTCTCAGAAGACTGGAGCACCTCTGATTTATTACATGGAGGAATGCACAAAGAAAAGTGAGCGCAGAAGCAGAAATGGATTTGAGGCATTCCAGCGTTTGCTATAGAAACGAATGATCTTGAAGCTGCAATGAACCCGAGGTGAAGGATGCAAACATCTTAAGGGGAACTCCAAAATGGGGGAGCAGGGGAAGGGGAGGGATCCCAAAACATTGAGGTCATGCCCTGGTGTGTGAGGACGCTGCACATGTTCCTTCTCTTTGTGTTTTATGATATTTTCAGTAGTGTAGGGTTCAACACACACTATTTATTATTTTCAGGGACTAAGTTGAGTTTTCATTTGTTGGGGTGTCTCTCTCTCTCTCTCTCTCTCTCTCGTGTGTTGTAATGGCAGATGTGGAGACCCAGCAAACTGTATTGTATGCTTGTCTTCTCCCCGTTCTCTTGACAGCGTGTAAATAGAATCAGAGCTGAACTGTTGTTTGGTCTCTGTTTACTTGAGAGAATATGAAATGCATGAAGGCAATGTTTTTGACTCTTGGTGTACTTTGGAAACGCGGTCAGCGGCTTCATCCGCAGTGCTGCATCTTGGCTGCGTTCACATTCTATGTCCATGTTGTGAGATATATTCAACAGTCCTTTTACCCTGTTATTGTTTACAGATGTTATCAGGTTCCACTGGAAACTCAAATTTCCAAAGGGAGTCATCCCTAAAGATCAATAAAGTCGAAGTTACACAAGTAGGAGGATCCCCGTTCTCGCCAGTTTGGATCTACAGGAGGTGTGACCATCACCACCTTGAGTGTGTCTCCCTATTGGTCTCCTCAAACCTGCAGCCAGTTCAAAAGCACATGCCTCTCAGAGAGCTCCCCCCACTGCAGCCTCAGACACTGTGAAGGGAGAGGAGACCCAAGCAGCGAGACAGAAGGGAAGAGAGAGAGAGAGAGAGAGAGAGGTCAGCATGCCAGCCTATGCCACCAACATGAGGCTCAAGTTCCCCATCCTTGCCCTGGTTCTGGAAGCCGTCACCATCGTCCTGTACGCTCTCTTTGTGGTGTACGACACTGGAGATGATCATGGACATGGAGCTCATCATGGAGAAGAGAATAAAACCCATTCCAGCAGCCCGATGACCCTTTATCCCAGTGAGTAGCATTTTTTTTTTTTAAATATTAGCTCCATAATCTTTAGTTGATGCTACAATGTAACTTGTCCCGAACTTTCATTATAGAATTTCACATCAACGTTTGATGCCAAAGTAAAACAGAAAATTCTTTATTGATTTCGTGAAAGGAGCTTAATGACTGCTGAAGCTATAGCTCCACTCGATTCATTTGTGTAATTACGTCCAATCTTTATTCACATTTCAACAATTTATTCATGTAAATGTTAATTTTGGTCTCCACATTATTTTAAACAAATAAAACTTTGGTTGCTGAAAGTCTGGTGACCGTTTCAGGGGGTACCCCACCTTTCACCCCGTGTCAGCGGGAGATAAGCACCAGCAGAGCCTTGTGATCCCTTTCTTCAAATAATTGCATCGAAAAGCGTGAAATTATTAACATCTACTGTTAAGATATCTCATAAAACACGTTTATTAAAAAAATATTAACGGTACAATTTTATTTGTTAACTATTTATTCTTTAGTAACCAATGGCTTTGGAGATTTTTATATGTTCCGTGAAAAATGACAATAATTGTATATTAAAGGATGTACTGGAATATTTGTATCTGAGCAGAACAGCCTTGAATGAAAAGCAGAGAGCATGAAGATGTTAAAACGAAGCGATAAACTCAACATCGTTTGGTTAAACTGATCAAACGCACTTTCCCATGTTCATTTACTCACGAGCAACTCTGGGGGCGTGTCGTTCTGAGGTGTGTGTGCATAATTTGAATAAACCTGCCTGGAGCTCATCAAACAAGCCAATCAGAAGCAAGGTAATCAGGTATTCTTACTCTGCCGAGCTGTTGATTGGCCTTTTCAGCAGGTGATGTCATACTGTATTAGGTTTTAACAGGGAAGGGAGGGGCAGATGAGCCAGATGTTCCAATATGTCATACTGTATTAGGTTTTTAACAGGGAAGGGAGGGGCAGATGAGCCAGATGTTCCAATATCTGAGCAGAACTAGAGAAAAGTAGAGCGTTCTAATCCTTTAAATCATGCAGATCGCACACAGTGGTGGCACCCCCGGGTCGAGCACATCGTCGAACAGCGTTTACTCTGCATCTCGTAACATCTACACTAATTGCTTTTAATGGAGACTGATGTTTAAGCAACAGAAACGCGAGCGGCTTGACTTGTGCTCTGTTCTGGAGCTGGTTTGATTTCTCTCCGGCTTGAGTTTCATGGTGCTGCTCGTTCATCACTGACAGATTTCTCTCGGCAAAGGCTTTGCTGGCAGCCTTTCACTAATGTTCGTTCAGCACGCAAGGCCCTAAATATACTCCCTCGTAAGAGGGGTCAATGCCACGGGCTCCTGTGCTCCCTGGAGATAAACAGAGGGGGGGGGGGTCACGGTGGCCAGATGCAGGCTTTGATCCTTATCACATGTTTGGTTCAGTGGTTATTAAATGGTTTTGTTTGTCGAGTTATTCCTCGCAGGTTTATAATCACCCTTCCGATACGATTTATGGACCTCCAGAGAGGACACGCTCACTCCTCGTGAAAGGCTGTTGCTTTTATCTCCACGTCACACTTGCGGTTTTCTTGCTCGGGCACTGAAAACATCTCTGGGTGAGGAGATTAGCCTCGCTGTCACATTTCTTCACAAGTTTCCATTCAGCTCTTCAAAATATGAAACCAACGAGGCTTTGATCTCAATCTGTTACAGAAACTACAGAAATTTGTCATTTCCATTTGCCCATGGTTTTGTCTTTTGTTTTTACGGTAAACACTAATCAAGCTCTTCTTCAGTCATGGAATCTTAAAGGCGGATGATTGAGTTTGAATTCTTGGGTGGTGCTTGTATTTGTCAACTCTTAGTGAAGCGCTTATTAATCTCACCATTATTAATGATTATTATTTCCTCATTGTTATAAAGTGTCACTAGAACGAGCCAAAGCTTTTTTGGAGCGGAGTATAGTCAGAGGGGCTCATTAACGATTCAACACCTCGTGAATTTCATTATCAAAACCTCAAAATATAGACGTGTAGAGGAGGAACGGTCAGCTGGTTTCAGTTAGCAGGTGGTTGGTTCAAGGCAAGCCGTGTGGAGAGAGAGGAGTTTGCACGTTCTCCCTGTGCTTTCTTCAGGTTAATGGTATCGTTTACGCTCCCCTTCGGAGTGACTTTCTGAGACTGGAGACGTCTCCTTTCGGTGTCCCTGATGGAGTAAGTTTATTAATTAATTACACACTGCTGTATATATTAATGGTGTGTCTTAAATG